ATTACTTTCACATCAACTTTCTTATAATATTGTATATTTCTCTGCTATTGAAAAGATTATTTATTTATTTACATTTTCTGTCTTCAGGCTGAGAGTCTGAACAGTTGAATATCATTTCTGAAACCTGCTGAAGGAAAAAAAGTCTGTTCTTTAAAGACAACAAGACCGATTTCATGGAGAAGTCAATCTCCCTGTATCATCTTGTTAGCTGCTGCCTTGTACATTATTTGTCTCTTTCTCCTCAGTGTGGACACAGCTGTGGATGCACACATTAAACACCCCGTCAGGTCTCTTTTTTTTTTTGTTTAAAGCAGGAAAACTCAACCTGGCTGGTAATTAACTAAAGAAACGCTCCCAGCGCTTGAACACAACATGACTTAGCTTCCATGAGGACAATCAGCAGCTTTTTTTAAACCAGAGAGTTTGTGGATTCACAGAGATACATTTTTTTAGTTTCTGAAATGCTGAGAAAAGAGCTTTGTGTCTTGGTTCAGCAGCTGTATGTGGGTTTGTGGCTTCTTGATATTTAATATTGTTCCAGGTATTATTTTTCCACGAATGTTACCTTAGAGATGTACAATCCATCATACTCAGTTTTAAAAGACATCCTGATATGTTTTCCGTGTCCCATGGTTTACTAAGTGTCAGAGTTTGAGTGATGATAGTTGTCTTAATGACGGTTTCATGTTTGATGCTCTATCTGTGATGCAAAAGTACCGGACCAAAAGACAGCTAATCTTTCTTAATGTTGTCCACGCTGCTAAATGTCAGATATCACCAGGAGAGTCATGTGTCTGGGCAGGAATACGTCTAAGTCAACTCTTTTGATAGATAATATGACTTTGTTGCTTCCAACGGGACTCGAAAGTTGCTTTGGGGATGGGTTGCATAACCTTTGCAAAAAGTTAACTGATGGTGACACAGTTATCATCTGCGGTTGTCATGGCGCCCTCAGGAAGAGCAGCATGCTGACAGCGGTTGGTAATGACAGATAATGCACTGTATAAGGACAGTACATTTGGGTCTGACTCCTTTTTTAGTGTAGGTCCTGATTAACTTTGCAGTGAAACCATAGACGTAGATTTTTGCTTCCAGGCTGATCCACGACAGACTGACCACCGTGCCTGATAACATCCATCGGGGATGTGGTTACTGGATGTTAATGATGCCCATGCACACAGACAGAAAACACAAACCATTTCTTCCTTCTTTCTCTCTCTATCTTTGTTTCTGGAAAAGGGGAGGAAAAGGAGTCTGGTTTTCAGCTGAAGAACTGACAGACTGAACATGTTGGAACGTTTCTGAAAGCAAAAACAAAACTTGAGATTTTAAACAAAGGTTAATTGTTGTACCAAATGTTACGGGTTCATATCTCAACACACGGAGAAATAAGTTACGGCTTCGGTTTGATATAACAGGATGGTGCACACTATATAAACCAACAAACATCCATCCATCCATTATCTATACACCACTTAATCCTCACTNGTGGAGCTGTCAGAGCACAAACGAAGGGAGGCAGAGGTGAATTCTTTCCTCAGTGCCCAGGATAAGGTTTATAAAGATTCCCAGCTGAAAGCATCGCAGATGTTGGAGAAGTTTGATGAGCAACACCACGAGGCAAGCTGGGACCATGTTGTGCACAGATATAGTTGATGCAGTGTCAGTAATCGGCATTAGATTATCTCTTGTGTGTTTGCCTTTATAGAGTAGAACAGAGTTTCAGCAGTTACCCGTTCCGGACGCGCTTAAGGTCAAGACCAACCAAAGTACTGAAATCGACCAGCTCTGCAAGAGCCTCATGACACTGGAGTTTCAGGCCATCAGCCAGCTGGAGGTAAGAGGTGCATGTGTTTGTGTGAGTGCACCTTGTGAAGCATCTAAGCTACACAAAACATCAAAGCTTATCCTTAAAAAAAATGTGTCTGTAGTTGAATTTAAGCCATTTCTTATGCTACTGTATAAAGATTATTAAAGACTGTTGAAGATTGAATTTCCTTCACATGTCAAAAGCTGTGACGCTGCACTTTATGTTTACTCACAGTGATGCGTCCTGTTTGTTTCAGGACAACATCAGAAAGTTGGAGCAGAACATCTCAGACACGGTTGACAACTTCAGGAAAAACTGCGCTCAACATATATCCTTTTTATTTACTCTGAGTCAGCGTAACAGCTCTGATTCATTATTGTTTTAGCTGAACTCTGCTATATTTTTATAGTTGACATGTTCTTGATGTATCTTGATGCAGTGTTAGACCAACCAGAGTATCACACCAAAATTGCCTTTACTTGTGAATAAGATTATACCATTTTTGAACTTCTTCCTT